TTCAATTTCTTTCCTAGCTGTTCAACTTCACAGACATAACCAACTGTTTTTGTAACTTATGCGTGTTTTTAACATAAACTTTTGTGTGAAAAAAAAACTTAGTTTAGTACTCATGCCCAGGGGCAGTTTTAGGGGGTGGCAAATTTAGGGTGCCAAGCTTGTTGACAGGGGCCAGTGCCCCCCTGTCAACAAGCTTGGCCCCCCTAAATTTGGAATCATATCACACCAAACACTTTTGGGTGAAATGCGCAGTTTGTCCTGTAAACTATATATAAAAAAGAAAAACATCACCAACTGCTAAATTCAAATCTGCGTTCGCTGGCTGGCACAGAGCCAGAGACACACGCGTTTTTAAAGCACTGCGTATTATAACCAATCACATACGATTATGTTGAGCTTATGAATGCAAGGACCAATCAGAAACGTTCAGATGAGTCACCGCTGAAAGCACACACTGGCTGACTGAATTCTCTGGCTAATTCTATCATCAGAAACAACAAAGTGAAGATGTACGAATGTAAGTAAGATATTAATTTCACAGTGTAAACTGCTTTAGAGATTATTATGGGAGTTTTTGAGAGTGCTTGAACTCGCTGGACTGAAGTGAAAATGTTCTATGATAATGTAACTGGTTCTTTGCTCTCTTTTTTTACAATGAAAGTGTTACAGGCTAATTAGTAACTTACAATGTTTTTTATTAAATTCACATTAAATACAAAGTCAGTCGTATTAAAAATATTTTATGGTATGACACCCATATCTGGTACTTAAAGGCACAATATGTAATTTTCCCCGCTGGAGGGCGCATATTCAAAATAAACAAATAGACAAAGGCGTAGTTTGATGACCCCGTGACTGAGTGTGGAATCATGGGAGTTGTCGTCTTTATCCCAACAGCCGATGCAATCCGACGGGACTCGGGCAGAAATCATGTTCATGGATGATGGGACTTGTATTGGTTTTACTGGAAACTGTAATGGACCCTGTTGGTCTCTACTAGTAATTGGTTGCCTTTTATAGGTGGCTTGTTAAAACCAATAAATTCTAATGGAATATGTCCCAAAACACACTACAGAAAACCATTTTTTAATGGTTTTAATGGTTAAAAGGTGATGGTCTGTAATGTTTGTAATGGTTATTTGTAGTGGAAACCATTAAAATTTTCTGCGATGGTTTTATTGGGGGGTTTTTTCAGTAGGGACATAATCCTATATCAGTTATACAGTGGTATTATGGCTGCTGTGTGTCACATGACAAGCATGAGAGCCCCCCCCCTTCACTTGTGCCCCCTCAAATATTTTAAAATTTGCCCCCTAAAAGCACAAGTGGCTCCTGTCTGAGGTAGGAGCTGTAAAAGCACATCCCTATTCTGGTAAAGGGAGTGGGGAACAGCAGCTCATTTGCATTTAAAGAGACATGCATGAAAACAGCGTGTTTCTGCTTCCACTCAAAATAGGCATTTTCAAAATGATATAATAAATGATCTGTGGGGTATTTTGAGCTGAAACTTCACAGACACATTCTGGGGACACCTGAGACTTATATTACATCTTGTAAAAAGGGCCATAATAGGTGCCATTTAAATGCTAGAATGAGACATTCTAGTAAGTGCGCGTGTGTACCTCACAAATGTTCCCACCCTCACCATCACGGCATGAAAATACTAAATAAAACTTAGTTTTAGAAAAATACTTTGTATTACAAATCTTTATATTATTTGGCTTTCTATTAATGCAATACAATGATTCACAGCCATCTACAGTCTCCCAGGCTTACATTATAGGCAGTTTAGCGTTTAGTGAGTCATTTAAATTAGATAATTAATTAGATATTGGGTTAACAATTTAGATAACTATTAGATAAGTATCGCTTTTTATTTCTCCTCTTTCCTATTACTTGTTTCGCTTCTGTTTCAGTTTTTTATAACCATTTCTTACTATGTGTAAGTAAGTTGTTGTTTTTTAACCTGTGTGTATGGCAGTGTTATTTTTTAGGATTACTGATAAACTACTGTCATTTGATTTGTATTATTTGTATTTGTTATTTATTTGAATTTTAGTTAAATTATGTCTGAATTTATTATGTTTGTATAGTATGTATTGTATGTATTGTATGTTATTTTAATACTTCAACAAACTAAATGGAAATGAAATAATAAATATTGAATTTATAAATGTGTATGTATATATGTGTGTGTGTGTGTGTGTGGTTGTACATACACGTATGTAGTTTTTTTGTTTTTTTTTGGTGTTTGGCTTAGTGTTGTTAGAATCATTATTTATACTCTTATACCTTTTGTTCTTTAATATTTTGAATTGTTTTAAGCTTTATTTTTAGTTTTTCATTTAAATGTTAAGTTTTGAAATTTTGTTGTATGCATTTGTCATTTTTATTTAATCTCTTTATTTTTAAAATGTGTATAAGTAGTATTTATAAAGTTTTAGCTTTTAGTTTTGGATCTGTTTTCAGTTGTTTTAATACTACAATTGATTGCTTCTGTTGTCCTCATTTGTAAGTCGCTTTGGATAAAAGCGTCTGATAAATGACTAAATAAAATAAATAAATAAAATTTACACCAAAACAAAAGATAACATTTATGCTTTCATGTCTGAAATTTTTATTTTTTTCTTACATTTCATAATAAATTCAGACAAGCTCAGTATTGACTCATTTTTCATCAGTTTATTTTCATGTAATGGAATGTGTACAACGGATTGTGGGTGATTAAAGGTCGCGAAGGATACATCTTTTGATTTAATTGAGGATTGCATTGCAGTGAGAATGACCTCAAGAGGACTTCAGTATTAATAGTACTGTGATATTGTAATGATTGTTGTGTTGCTAGCCTAGGCCAGTTGTTTTGTACACCGTAATGGTGTAATAATTTTGAAACGTCTGTGTACATTAGATTTACTTGACATGTGTGGACAAGATGTAGCACTTAATTTATATATTAATAATATATATTGTGATGTTTACATGGTTCTAAGTTATCTGAAGACAACCCTCTTTTTCTTGACCAGCATTCTCTAGCTATGACTGTATAAGAAGCACAACATCACTCTCAACATCCATTCAAACGACATAGAAATTCCTGAGCTCTGCAACAGTTTCTCATCTCACATGGAGTCAGAATAAAACAATGTAAGTTGATCAGACATGAACAGAAAGCTATTGTTCAGCATGTTAAAATTAATCAATTCAAAACAAGACAGCAACAACAACTTTCTTGAGAACATACATAATAAAAATAAATGATTTCTAATGATTTATTTACAGAATTCTAAAGATTAGTCACCCAAAGTCATTTCATTCCAAACCTGTATGACTGACTTTCTTCTGTAGAACATAAGTATTAATAGTAGAAATTTTTAATAATACTCTTTTCGATGCAATTGTGAATAGGAGCTCACAGTAGTTCAATACAATTGTTCGCAGACTGAAAGCATATGTTTTGTTCTGTAGGTCATGGTCTGGTTTACCACTGTGGTATGAGTGTCTTCGTTGGATTCTCTCCTCAGTTATGATTACCATCTTATGTGTAGTGCACACATGCTCAAAATGTACATCAAGAAGGCTTAGGGCTCAAGGCAAACACCCTAAAGACATCTGATTGTGAAACATGGTTGCCGCTTCATTACAAGTTTTCTTTATTTATGGTGTGCATGTACACACTTTGCATTCTTTTTCATTCACATTGACTTAAAAATGATATTCCTTGTTTTTATTATCCACAAGGTGTACAATTAATTCAGCTCCAAACTGCATGATTCATTCACATTTCGTTTTGTAGACATTTTAGCTTTAGATGTGGTTTTTTTTCTGAAAATGTAAAAAATAAATATAAATGTATATGGACAGACAGTCCTGACATTGCTCACATTAAAAGCGGATATCAACATTAATGCAATTAACATTTTCAAGCATTGCTGGAGTCAACTTGTATCCTGTTTTGCCCATCGACACAATTCAATGGGAATGAAACCATGCAAGAGTGAAACTGAAAGTGACACGACCCCTGTTACCTTTTCTGCTCTTCCTGAAAGGAAAATATGAGCACACAATGAGCTATTGCTGAAGTTGTTTTGTGACCTTGTTGCATGGACAGTGATCAAGGAAAAAGAACGACTGTAAATTAAATCAGTAAAGACTGATTTTTCACTTGAAAGTTTTATTGTAAAAAATAAATAAATAAAAAAGGCAACCAAACACACTACTTTTTTAAATTAACTATATTTCTGAAAAACTTTTTTTTTTCTTTTAATGCAGGAATTCCCAAACTTTGTCAGCTGAACCCCTTTGATCTAAAATATTCATGAAGTACCCGCTGAGATTTTAATTTATATATCAATCATTTCGAACATTCACGGTTTTCTGGTGTCACATGACACACAGGGAAATAAAATGTTTTATTTTGTTTTGTTTTTACAATTTTTTAAATTATTTATTCTTTTAATTGTACATCAAAGTACATGTAGTCAAAGGCACCTAAAGATTTCTTAGCATTTAGCATCGCAAAGATCTACAATCTGTTGTTCTTTCGTCTTTATTTTCAATATATGGCCTTGAAATGTTATGGGCTATTCACTATTTTCTTCTTAACACTAGAGTTGCAGGGAGATACACATACATCAAGACACAAATCTCAAATTTCACAATGATGATAAACATGATTAACATATCTGTACCATTATACGTAACGTATATGTAACAGATCTGAACCATTATAGCTTATTAACAGTAATGACAACAGCAGCAAAACAAAAAAGCATCGATTATTTTTAAATAATAGTAGCCAAATATTTTTTTTCAAGCTGTAATACTGATTAAATAAAATAATTAAGTGACTACTACTACAAAAAATAATAATAATAATAATAATAGCCCTGTTCAAGCTATGTTTCTGTATTTAAGCTTTTTTGCAAGTTGTTGGATCAGGTTACCAGAATTTATACTTGTGCACACCCATCCTGTTTTCCCCAGTCTTCATCTTTTCCTGAGTATTGTTGAGGACACACAAATTCTTAAGGACTCAGTTTCAGTGTGCGTGAGTAAAGTTACATGTTTTTTAACTTTTAATCTGCTTTTTTAAACACTTAATCTTAGCATTAAGTTTTAGAGATTGTGTATTTCTGCTAAAAACACCTCTGGGTAAAGAATCAAGGAAGTTGCTCTTAAATATGAAATATTTACTGCATAAAAACTAATTTAAAAAAGGTGGTATTCATTTCTTGTTGAGTGTTTAATTAAAAAGATTTACCTTTAATTCAAAAAGAAGACTTTGAAGAGATAAACCTATTATGTACCCTTTTAAAGTTTGTAGTTTCTTTTAAAGGTTTAAAGAAGAGAGAAATATGACCAAACTCATGTTCATTTAAATGAAATGGCTTCAGTGTTCTTCTAATGCGTTTTATTCCGCATGAACTTGTGGTCAACAACATGCGACTCATCCTGAATGCAAGAATATCCCTTATAATTTGCTGTTCCACTGCTGTTTTTTAAATTCCAGAAAACAAATTATTCTGAAATTATATTGGACTAGTTCACCAATGTTCAGAGACTATGGCATTTATGTTGCTGAATCTCTGTGCTCCTGCCCTTTTCCTGTGTCTTCTGAAAGCTGGGAGTATCAGAGGTGAGTTTGATACTCATTAGTCATTCAGATAGCTACAATGAATGGCATTTAAAATATGGTACCAGTCTATTATACCATGAAAAAACATCTAAAATTGTCTGTCTGTAATTTGAAGTAACAAAAAAAGGGAAAATATCTGTAGTATTATTTACCCTTACCCTAAAAAATTGTATGACCAATTTTGTGAGAAAATGTTTAAAACCCGAAAGGATTTGCGTTAAACACTTGGCATGCAGCAAAAGCAATAAACTCCACAAAAAGTCAGGTTTTTAACAACAGACAAAAGACTAAGGCAAACACAGCATGTATACATAACAAATAGTGTACTTTTTGTCATTGATCTGAATGGCAAAAGTTGCCCAATGACTGGGTTATTGGAATACTAGTGTGATTTGTTCTTCTCCTCAGCTCAGTGCACACAGCCAGAGGCGGACTTACCCATTAGGCAAAGGTAGGCGACCACCTTGCTCCCCCAAAAGCCAAGGGCCCCCTAAATGCTTTTCATAGAGGAAATGTGTATTAAGCGCAGACACACAAACGTGGTGTTCATTACCGCGACAACTGTCTGCGTGTCCGCGTCCTGCTTGTGTATCCTTGTAGCAAATGAAATATAATGCATCTGAAACTGTAATTAAATATTGAGCAACAATGTGTATTGTATGTTTATTGTTTTAAATGCCACTTGCTTACTTGTTTATGAGAAGAACCCAAGTAGATGACGCATAGCTACTTTCCACACACACACACACATAGGCCTATGCACATAATGTTCTTCATTTTTGGTTGATATAATCCTAGGTGTGTAAATGTATAATTTCCTTTTCATAATTTTTTTTTTCAGTTTCATTAAAATTTGTAGTTAGGTAAAATAAATGTATTTTAAAGTTTAGTTGTAATACTGTTATAACTTGTTTAAACGTTAATACTGTAACCGCACTGGGTGGGGTAAACATTTTTAAGTACATGACATAAATGTAGAAACATTGGACACAATTATGGGGTACTGTTGTGCAGCAGTAAGCATCAGAACAGAGAAAAGAACCTCATGGTTAATCCAGGTTAATGTGTGCAAATCTATAGGGCCCCATTCCTATATTTTGCCTGGGGCCCCCAAATCACTAAATCCACCCTGGTCATACAGTCTTCTTTTGCATCAAGAAATGTTAACAGCAGAGCATCTCTCGACTCCTAGTTTCTCAGATGGATCCACTGTAACATTTGAGTGTGTGATTGGACACAAGCCAGTTGACTTAAAAGCGTCTAAATCAGTTACCTGTCAGGGAAACCAGTGGACAAATCTGGAACTCAGTTGCGCAAGTATGTACTGTCGTTAAATATGTTAAGTACCCTACATTTGTAAATTCCTCTAAAATGCCCTTTGTCTTATTTAGATATATGAAAAGATGTATGTTATAGGTCAACAAGTCATTAAATAGCTTAATCATTAAATAGCTCATAGTGGTTTTGCCACTGACAGCAGGAAGCATCACAGTATCACACATTTCCTCTTAAAATAAATCCCTGTATCATGTAAAGAAGCAACACTAAAGATTATTTTTCATTATTTTCAACAGTATTTAAAGAGCACCAATTCTAAATCAGTCAATATCTTGAATACATTACAGGAAAATCCTGTGGAAGCCTTGCGGATTTTCTTAATGGGAGATATGAAATGACTGGAAAATTATTTGGTGACACCGCTAAACCAGTTTGTGTCAAAGGGTTTGTGAAAGTCACTTTCTTTGTGGTGGATTAAGTGTGTTTTAAACCATATGGAATTTAGGTTGTGAGCTGTGTTTGAGTATTTGGTAAGAGGAAAATCATTGCTTTCAGATACATGTTAGCGGGTCAGGAAACAACAAGAACATGCAGAGATCAGGGATGGGATGGCAAAGATCCTGTCTGTGAACGTATGTTAGTTCTTACATTTGAATGAAATGTGATATTGAAGAGCACAAAGCCATTACCAATTTGTATTTAAAGATTTGTTTTGTGTTCTGGAAATAAATACCTATTCACCTGGATATGGTTTTCTCTTTAGCTGTAAAATGTTCAGCACCTCCAGTCATAGAAAATGGGCAACTTGAAGATGAGCCTTTTGAGAGTTATGATTATTCACAAGCAGTCTCCTATAGATGCAACAAAGGACTTAATCTTATTGGACAATCAACACTTCATTGTTCTGAGGATGGAACATTTAAACCAGATCCACCAAAATGTTTTGGTAAGTTATGGTTCAAATGCCAGTCAAGAGATGAAGAAAAAAATCACTTGGGAGTTTCTTCCTGTTAATGAATAAAATATTTAATGATCAATACTCTTCTTTTACATAAACATTTTTCTTTTCTTTTTTTCCCAGGTGGGTGTCCAGCGCCTACAATTCCTAATGCAAAAAGAATTGAAGGAAAATCACCCCCCTACAAACTGGGTAACTTTGTAAAATACAAATGTGAAGATGGCTATAAAATGACAGGAGAAGATTATATTGTGTGTAGTGCAAATGGATGGGACCCTGAACCACCAAGGTGCATTGGTAAGACTGAAATGATTTCTTTTATTAATGCATGACTGTATTCTGTAAAGGAACAGTTTACCCAAAGTGAAAGTTGTCATATATATATATATATATATATATATATACAGTGGTGTGAACCTCCCTACAAACTGGGTAACTTTGTAGAATACAAATGTGAAGATGGCTATGTAATGAAAGGAGAAAGTTATATTTTGTGTAGTGCAAATGGATGGGACCCTGAACCACCAAGGTGCATTGGTAAGACTTATTTTATTAATGCATGACTGCACTGTTTGAAAGAATTGACAATATAGTAACAGTTCACCCAAAATGAAATTTGTCATATACTTACTTTTGTTGTTTATTGAGGAAGACTTAGTGAGCTATTGAGTCTAGATGACCATCACATTCAAGTTGTTCAAAAGATAGAAATGAGTAATAATGGTATAATAACTAAAAGAGTAGTGGATCTGTTACTGGGTTTTGCATCAGATGGCCATAATGCATGTTGCTTGTGTTTATCTCCACAGCGCCTTGTCATTTTCCTGAGTTAAGTGAACATGTCACTTTAACAGAGGAATTCCGCTCACGTAGAAGTATTCCGCATGGATCCAAAGTAACAGTTGAGTGTATTCATGGATGTGAGCCAATTGATGCAACAGTATCTAAAACAATTACCTGTGAGGAAACCAAGTGGACAAAATCACTCTTGACCTGTAAAGGTAAGTACTGTCATTAAATGTGTTGTTTCTGATCTGTATGTTTGTCTTTTTTTTAATGAAACACAAAATGAGATGTTTAGCTGAAAGTGAATGAGGCCAGGGCATGTGGAGGTTCACATGACAACACGACATCATAGAAATTGCCCATACAAATTTTGTAGTATGTTTTGAACTCAGTCTTGTACTAAGTCTTGACAAGCTTTGAATGTAAGTGAGAGCTGAGGTGAAGGAGAAGATGACCATTTAATTTCTGTGCTCACACGAAGATATAATATGGCTTCAGGAGATTTTGAAAATAGCACACAATCCTTTGGACCACCTTCCTCAATTTTGATTTTACGATGACTTTGTTATTAGCCTTACTTTCCTTCATTTGCTGTTATTAATAGTACAGTTAACGTGTCATGTTGAATTATAAATATATTAAACAACCATTAGTCACACTGTACTGTACTGTAATTGAAAATGAAAAACACAGGTATCGATATCTGCAAGTACAATAAAGAATGTATTATGACCCTTACTCAGCCTCTTAAAAAATTTATACTGGTGTATCCCTAAAATCAAACATAAGGGTAAGTACTGATCAATGCATATATTGTCGAGTTTATCTTTGGATTAATATGTGACGTTTATTAACAGACATACATTGACAAGTTTGTATTTGGATTAATATGACAGATATTGACATGCATATATCAACAAGTTTTTGATGCCTTTAAGCTCAAAAGGATTTTTAAAAAACAGTTTACATGTCCATGAACTTTCATGTATCACTGAAGAAACCTTAAGAAAGTTTCTTATCTCTTTCTCTCTTCAAGCATTTAAGAGTGTGACTCTTTCTGGGGTTATCTAGACTTCTTGTACTCACATTTCTAGTTCTCTAACCCAGTGCATATGTTGACTCCCAGCCCTACCTACAACTCCCCCTACTGCCACGATTACCACAACTGCTGTGAATTCCAGAGTTTTGGACAACATCCAAGGTTCCTAAAGAGAATGGTATTGTCGTATGGGTCTATACTTTATTATAAAAATATTAGATACACATTAATGTTCTCGTAATGGCCCTGCTGTAAAGAGTTAACAACATTAAGATCCAGAAGGAGAGAGCTCAGAAACTTTCTGTATTGATGTTCAGACATTTATTTTAGACAATTACGAGAAAATTATGGACTATAATTTAGGGCTGGGTATTGTGCCACCACACGAATAGATTAAATTAGAATTTCAGGGATGTGATTACAAAAATTGCAACACAAAATTTTTTTTTAATCTTTTGGAATTTTGGGCTATACGTATACTCTAAATTCATAGAAGTACTACTATATGTCTGCTCTGATCTGCCAGTAAATAATCTGATATAGTACCCTAGTCTCAGAGGTAGTTGGTTTAAAGGGGTCATATGATGCGATTTAAATTTTTCCTTTCTCTTTGGAGTGTTACAAGCTCTTGGTGCATAAAGAAGATCTGTAAAGCAGGGCCGAGCGGCAGTGTGTCTGGGAACCGGACCCAGAATTGTTTTTTTTCTTTTTTCCCTCTCCCCTCTCTCGTCTGTCTCTCCTCATCCTTCCGTCTCCTTTTCTCTCGCCTCGTCTGTGTTTGTTTATTTTATTATTAAAGTTTCTTTAAATGTCCGCCGGTTCCCCCCTCCTCCTTCCCGAGCTACGAACTTTGCTACACAGCATATTCACTAACCATGCATAGGCATGGTTACTTTTTAAATGTTTCCACAAACAAATCATGATTCACCAGTAACATACTACATTTTTATTCACACACACAAAAAAAAAAATAGGAACAGCTGAACACATACTTAAATTATTTACAAAGACCAGTGCCTTACAAAACCCTCCCCAGTAGTGATGGTAGCAAAGAAAGCTCTATGATGTTAAAGTAGGTGAGGAAGAGACTTGGGAGAAACCAAGATTCAGCTGGGGAAGCCTTCATCTGGCACACATTTGTACAGCATACACACAAATGCACAAATGTTACTTTAAACACATGTAATCCTGTCACATACTGATCAGTGAATGAATCATTCTATATTAAAGTGATTTCCACCACCTCTTCTAAAATTACAAATCAGCTGTTGTAAGTACAACTCTCCATATCATTGTCAATAGTTTACTAACTCCGAAAATAAGTAACACTGTGTAGCATTCTATAATATTGGTGCTTGTACTGACAACTTTATACCTTGTAGGGTTTTTCAACTCAAAAAGGGAAATATTTATGACGAATTATAACTGGTTATGATTCATAATAAATATTTAGATTAGATCTTTGAATTAACTGTAGCAGAATCAATATTACCATTACTTGATCTGTCCGTCCACCGAGCAGACAAAATAATCATTTTTTTGGCTTTTTTATCTTGGCCGTTATTTTATCAGTTTACATAATGTTAGTGTTAGTTAGTTCTACTGCAAAAAGATTCTTGTTTCGCTTTCTAACCACATCTTAATGTTATTAGCTCTTCATAATGGGACTGTTAGGGGAATACTGTCTTTTTAACTTAGCATGAGAGAGTAATTATACCTCCGGTATAATTGCCTAATTTTAAACTGTCTATTGTATCTTTTTTTTTTTATAATCTACTCCATCATGGTTATCCATCTGTTTGTATTTGAATCTTCAAATTGTTCTTCCTCTTTTATGGTTTCCTAACTGTATTCTTTTTATTCCACAGAAGACACAATAAATACAAGTACATGTAAGTATTGTTTTTTGGCTTCAGTTGCCTAATATTGCTTCGGGAAATTTGGAATATAGTGCACAATCAGAATTACCTTTTTTGGTTGAACTATTCTGTTTAAGATCATTTTAATAACTGTGTCTGTGATAAAACTGCAGGTGCTCTTCACTCTGAGTGGAATCTGGATATACATGTTATCACCCTTACAGCAAATGTCAGGCACCTTCAATCATAGAAAATGGGCAAACAGAGGCTGTTTTTTATTAATGTAATACTGGGTTTTTTCTTAATAGACATGCATTACTTTATTGTTCCGAGGATGGGACTTTTAAACAAGATCTGCTTGTGCTTTTGCTACATGCTGAAGTGGTGTTTGGTATCGTGCTTTATCGCGTGCCTTGTCAGTTTCGTGCACTTTCTTGGCCCTTTGTTGTGTTAAACAGTAAAGCGTGTTCAGCTGAATTCAATTACAGTTTATCAAACAGGTATAAAAAAAAAGGTTAATATGCCACGAGGCAGCCCTGGTGTGAAGCAAATCCCTACTAGTACTAATACTCGCAAAACACGCCTCACACAAGCTCTGTTAAGACAAGTGTGTTCATTAGAAATCATTACATCCGCTAATTCACAACTTTCTTTTCCTATTGTTTTTTGGAATTGCCAGTCTGCGGTAAACAAAGCAGATTTCATTACATCTGATACTAGTCTCAACCTCATGGCCCTGGATCAAACCAGAGGACACTGTTACACCTGCAGCCCTCTCCAATAATTTCTCCCCCCCCATCTGACTGGAAGAGGTTTAATCCTTTGCTATCTCTGGGTATCAACAGCTCCTTTGAATCACATCGAGTTACTATCTCCCACCCTCTTAAAATCCATTTTGTAGTTGTTTAACGACCCCCAGGTCCTCTAGGTAACTTCTTGGAGGAGTTAGATGTGTTGCTCTCAACCTTCCCTAATGGTACTCCTCTGGTTATGCTTGGAGATTTCAACGTCCACCTAGATAAACCTCAGGCTGCAGACTTCCACACTCTGCTTGCTTCTTTGGATCTCAAGTGAGTGTTAACTGCGGCTACTCACAAATCAGGTAACCAACTGGATCTTATTATACATATGCCACTGCTCCACTGATCATGTGATGATTACCACACTGCACTCCACGGATCACTTTATCCTCACTCTTAAATCTGCATTCTATTTATGATGTATTGACACAAATTTCAAATGATTTTCAAAGGTCGCTTTGTCGCAACCAGTGTACTAGACAGACTTTAGCTGTTGCGGCGCAGACACGTGTTACTCACCTATCGAGAAGAAACAAAGCAACCTCGGCGTCAGATCGCAGGCCTTCCACTCCTTGAGTTCTCTCCAGTGCTGGAAAGCTGATTCGATATTTACACAGGTCCTACTTCTTGCCTTTATTGCCTTAAGCCTTCATTTGTTCCGCAGACGTTTTCCTCTTTTGTTTTTCATCTGCCATCTCTATCTTTCTGTTGCTCGGCTCGGCTAATGTCCGTCCTGTGCACTGAACGCTCTCTCCTCCACATCATGAGTAGACACGCCCCTTACTGCTGATTGGCTACAAGTTTGTTTTGCTA